AATTAGGTTATTTGGAGCCTATTTAAGAGACTTTTTTTAAAGATTTTAAGGAAGAGGCAGCAAGCAACTATTCTGGAGATTGGAAGCCAAGAAATAAGAAATTGGAGGAGAATCAAGATCACAAGGCTCTAACTATTAGTTTTCTCTCTTACTTTTATGTTTTTCTTATTTTCTTTGACTTGGATTCATGGCTAAATTTCTTTGGATATTGTCTTTATTAGATTTTATGAGCTAATTTATTTTTCTAGGATTGCAATTAAACTCACATGTAATCTAAATTTTTAATCTCTTTCTTGCTTATTTTCAATGAGATTTGAATTGTTTATGGCCACCAGTTAAATTGATTTAGGAACCTAAACAAACTTGGGAAAGGGAGTTTAGTGTAGACTAAAATTGGGATAACATATAATCATATTAATTGATTTGCGTATAGGATAGGGATATACCTCTAGGCCATATGTATCCAGATTAGAGCTTGAGCTTAATGAGTCTGTTTTAATTTCAATTCACATAGGGATATAGTGTTTGGGTTAAAATAAATATTTTTATAAGATGAGTTGGGAGACCTTTATAAATAATTTAAGACTCTAGGTTAGAAATAAGTTAAGGAAGAGAGGTAAGATTTAGATGAAGTACGAGGGATATTGTAATCTTAGACTTGTTCGATTTGATATTTATTTGAGTATTTATTATTTTGATTTTTCTTAGTTTAAATTTACTAACTTAGTTTTATTTGATATTATTTTGATATTGTTTAGATAAGATTAATTTGTTATAATTTTAGTACTTAGTAAACTTTTAGATCAATTTCATATGAGATCGATACTCTACTTGTTAATATACTGTCTATTCGATACATATACTTGCGTAATAGAATTATAACTGACAGAGGGTTAAAGAATAATCTACCAATTCAGATTATGTGATTTCACCCTTTACCCTGTGGGCATCCATTCAACAGTCTCGTTAGTCATATTTTTAATTTTAAAATCAATCTCTATACTCTTTGAAGCCACATTATTAATTTTCAAAGCCTTTACCTCCATATTGACATTATTACGTCGAGCCATAACGTGACCATTCTGATCATTTGAAGCACCTACCTTATACATAACCGACTTAGAAGCTTAGTTGACTATATTATTAAATTTTTCACAATTTTCTTGCTGTCTATATGGTCCACTATTATTATTAATTTCATCACCTAAAACCGCAAAATGAGACTCGAGCTTGGTGTGGCTGTCATTCTTCGACAGATTGAAAATTCCTTTATTATTAGAAATTCCACTAACTACTTCCTTATCCTTTTTATTAGAATCTCCTTGGACTTCCTTTTCCAAAATGGTAAATCGAGATCCCAATCAAGCTTGTCTTTTGTAATCCCTTAGGGGAATTTTTCTTGTCAACACCCTATGGTTTCCTATACGAAACAAACATCTATGGACTGTATCGATATTCATCAATATGCTCATTGGTTTCAATAGACTTCTCTAATGTCTCTGAGGCGGAAACCTCCTTCAGATTATTAAATACCTTTTTTGTATGACTGTAAATGCCACAATTCAAACAAACCTTGGGAACGCTATCTTCTGAGCATTACCATTCATGAAAAACTTGGGTAAGAAAAGTTTGCAAAGGTCGCATTCCATTACAACTCTTGCAAATTTCCCTCTCTTGTCAGAGCCTATATTATAATCTATCTTCAACAAGCATTTAAGCATAGAAGTAATCTATCTTAGGACAGACTTATTGTATAGATGTAAAGGCGAACTAGGAAAATGAATCCAAGCAACTGTTGTAGACAGATCTTCCATTTCCCTAGAAAAATTTAGAGTCCAAGGATTAACAATGAGATAATGACCAAGTACCACCAACGGGCCATCCAACAAAGCAAACAAATAATCTGCTCTTTCCACAAATTGTATTAAGAATCTATGATTGTCAAGATCAATGATACTATACTTCCTTTTTGGTTTCCACAAGACAACAATTTTCTTAGATAGTAACTTGTAAGAGATTGAGCAGCCAAAAAGCCCCACTATGATCGAATTCTACCATCAATTTGCCAACTCACTTTGCTTATGATCTACGATCATAAGTGATGGCTGATGGATAGCCATCAAGCAAACCATACTGGTAGTCCTCCATCTTAGTATCATCCGATTCACAATCCATCACTAGAATCATACCTAGAATATTTCTTACCAACAAAACCATATATAATCACCATTCAAACTTAGCAATGCTTCCTTAAAAGATGGATTGTCCAGAACAATCAACTCATTTTCATGCTAAACTTCATCAAGATTTGAATTACAAGCCCTAATTTTTTTGCAAGATCGATAGTCAAAATCCCAAGATTGGGGTTTTTTTGAGGAGAGCTCTCAATCCTCATTTTATTTTTCCATTTGCTCATTTTCGAACCTAACTATATAATCTTTTATTATATATTATATTACTGTAATAGAAAAAGAAATAGAGATAGTACCCAATGTATTATATTACTGCAATAGCTTTTAAACCAGATTACTCGATATTATGCATTGAATCCTTGAATTCTAGCTTTCCTTACAAGGATTGAAAGAAGTCATTCAGATTTCCCAAACATAGAAAAGCCAGAATTTGTAATCGCGACGCCTCCGTCTTTGATCAAATTAAGCCCACTCACATACTTGGACTCGTCGCTTCCCAAGAAAAGAGCTGCCCCAGCCACATCTTCTGGTTCAAGGATCGCCCCTTTAAGATTGGCATAAATCTCATGAACTCCTTCATCATCTAGCTTGTAAAAATCCTTTGCCAGAGGAGTTGCAACCACATAAGGCGAAATGCAGTTTACACGAATACCGAATTGTCCTAGCTCCACCGCAGCATTTCTCATCAGCCCCACCACACCATGCTTTGAGCTGGTGTAGGCATGGGAGGCAATTCCACCAACCGTTGAACAAATGCTAGCAGTTGTAATGATACTGCCCCGGCAAGCTGGTTTCATCACACGAGCAGCATGTTTAGTGCCGAAGAATGCACCTACTAAGTTGACATTAAGGACTCGCTCAAAATCGGACTTATCATTGTCAAGTATGTTGGGTTTTGGGAGCTCAATTATTCCGGCATTGTTGAACATGATGTCAAGCTTTCCATACTGGGAAATGGCTACGTTTACAGCATTTTCGACATCTTTTTACTTGGTCACATCACAATGAACGAAGGAAGCGAATGCCGGTCCAATATCTTTGCTAACAAATTTGCCCAAGTCAGCTCTGACGTCTGCAATAACAACTTTGGCTCCATGTTTGACGAAGGTTCTTGCAGTGCACTCGCCAAGGCCACTTGCACCATCCGTGATGAGTGCAACCTTCCTTTCTAGCCTGCAACGAAGAATATGTATATCATTAACTCGAATATTTGCTTATAATCTCTTAATTTGCTGCAGATTAAATTCTTCAAGATAACATAAAGATGCAAAAAAGAAAAAGAAAATTGTGAATTTTTACCTTCTTATAGTTGTTGAGGCTAGTGAAGCAATTGACATGGTGAAGCAATATGTGAAAGATAACTCACTTGTGAAATTAGTAGGGAAAGATGAAAGAAGTTGGACAAGTTGCTGCAATTGCTTATTCCTATAACAATGGATCTCCTGATGTGGACCAACTTCACCACAGGAATCAAGCATGAAACAAACGCTGCTCACATTTTTTTTTTTATGAAAAAGTTAGAGAAAACGTAATAAAACCAAAAAAGAAGAAAAAGGTCAGATACCCCGCTGGCTAATTGTCCTTTACCTTCGAAAAAATACAAAAAGAAAAATTGTCGCTCACCTCTGCATTTGACGCAGCTGAAAATCGCTCTTAATGGGATAAGATTTAAATTTACTGTTTTACTTGGTAGATTAAATGGATCCACTTTGTGCCTTGACGCCTGCTACTTTTTGTTTTTTATAGTGGTTTGCTGCTGCCCGCTAGGTGATAGGATTTCAAAGTTATGGTTTGTATAGAGTTTGTATATAATGATATTGAATCAGGATGATCTGTTGCAGCCTTTTTTTTCTGTTGGCTGCACATGAGTTTTTGTATTAGATATACTTATCCCCTCTTTATTAAGGTATATAATTATAGTTCATTGCTTTGAAAAAAACTGTATTCACTGTGTGTAAATTTATTATTGTATTTTTAATTTAATTTAAAAATAATAAAACATTCTATTATTTTCTAATGGTGTGCTTACTCAAGGAAACGTGTAGGTTAATACCGAGATAAGGATATGGTGGGTGAAAAGAGAACCATAGGACACAAAAGAATGACCTTCCATTGGTAGAATCAAGACAAACAGAAGAAGAAGAGTGCTCTTAAGTTTAGATGCCTACTGACCCGACACATGCTTCCCTGTTCACATCTAGTGATGCCCACTTATTTTTTATCATTATTCACAGCAGTTGAATAAGATTTTGATTGATTTAGAGGAAGCTTTTTTGTGAACGAGACTGCTCCAAATAAAGGCAGTGGTTCCCCGTGAAGGTTGAGTACCCAATGGTATTGTAACATGTCGGTTCCCGATGTGGTAGGAGAGCCTCGAGTGTGTACTAAAACATTTATGACTTGGGACCCGACGCATGCTTCCCTGTTCACATCTAGTGATGCCCACTTATTTTTTATCATTATTCACAGCAATTGAATAAGATTTTGATTGATTTAGAGGAAGCTTTTTTGTGGACGAGACTGCTCCAAATAAAGGCAGTGGTTCCCGGTGAAGGTTGAGTACCCAATGGTATTGTAACATCTCGGTTCCCGATGTGGTAGGAGAGCCTCGAGTATGTACTAAAACACTTATGACTTGGGTGTGTGACTTTGAAGATTTATGAATGGCATTGTTTTTACATATAAGCATAAGGTTACAAGTATAGTTGATTGCTTTGAATGCTTTGAGGCTTAGTTGAGAATTTGGTTAGGTTTTATTGAGTATACATTAAAGCATATGAAGCATAATTGATGGATTGTTGACTATGGTGAGGTGGGAGTAGGTTGGACACCTAGAAAATCAATTTGGAAGCTGAAAAGGTGGAAGACAAGCTACTGTAAGAAATTTATCAATACGTTACTTAATGTATTGATGGATTCATGGCAGAATGTACCAGGAGATCATTTTATAAAAAATGTATTAATGTATTGTATAAATGTATTGATAGAATTATGATAAAATACGTCCTGTATAAAATGTATTAATAGATTTTAAAATGTATCCATACATGCATGTAATAGTGCAAAAAATGTAAAGACTCTCGAGTTGAACGCCTTGTTTTGTTCTTCTTCAACCCGAGGCACACACTCCTCTCCATCCCCATGCCAGCTTCCAAGGTAGAAAGAAGAAGTGATTTAATAGGAAAATACACCGATTAAAGTAAGTTTCCTTACTTTTGAAGAAGATCTGCTGATTGTTTTTTCTAAAATTCTGCTTTTTGTTATGCAAACCATGATTTCATTTGTTAGGTGTTGAGGTGCTGGGAATTTGTTGTTGAAAGTGGGCATAACAGAGGTAAGAACAATATGTTTTGGTGTTTCGAGTTTTGAAATGAGGTTTACAATGCTGCTGGTGTGAATGTAGTGAAAACCGGAAAATATTTGAATCCTGGAAATTTAGAATGTTTGAACCATTTAATAGAACTTGAACTTGAGAAATGATTGTTGAGCTGAAATTCAGCTAGGAAGTAGTAAAAATTTGGTATGTGCTAATATAGTGATGCATTGGTTTAATTTTAGAATATGGTTGGAGCATAAATTCTGCCAATTAGAGCGTTGGTGAGCTGTGTTGATTGAAGCTGCTGTGTTTGTGAGCTGGAAAACTTAAGAATAATAAGTTTGTGAAGGCTTAAGCTGATTGTAGAGCTGAGGATTGGTTAGCTGTGTAATTAAATTGTTGTATTGCTGGCATTGAGGTGAGTGGGTGGCCAACTTCAATATATATATATATATATATATTGATAATTATGCATTTATTTACTATGATCAATTTTCCATAGCTTGAATTTGGGAAGCATAAACTGGTAGGTTTAGGAGTTGATTTTCTTAGGTGGAGATTGATGATTTGCAAAAGATTGAGTTTGGTTTCAATGTTGTCTTTAAGGAAGCTTTGCAAATTATTAGTATATGTATATGTACAATTACCATACTAGTTTTTAACCCTGGGAAACAAGCCCTTTAAATTGCTTGATCTTCAAATATGCTTTTAAAGCAAAAATGTTGTTATGCAAGCCATACGGTGGCTGCCTTGTTGATGCATTATCTGTTTGACCTTCAAAATTCATTTTAAATGAATTATTATTGCAAGAGCCATAATGTGGCTGTTTTCATGTCTGTACCCCTGTTTTGGGTGATCAATTTGAGTTCAATAAAACTTCATTGCTAGAGCCACATGTAGTGGCAGATTTTAAGTGTTCTATCCATATTATTGAGTGGTTTTACAGTACTTATAAATATTCTGGCCATTGGCACCTTTACCGGTATTAATTATTGAACAATTATGTGTGCATATAGTTGTTTTAACTGCCAACAGCTAAATGTTTATAAACATTATGGCATACTTGAGCTATTTGGGTTTGAACCATGTTAAACACCACCTTGGTTTATTGTAGGACTTTTAGAACGAGAATATCTCGAATTTTAGGTCTTACAGTTATAGCAGTAAACGTAACCTTAATGCCATAAGACAAATCTCTAACTACCTATTGCATTGTTATGGTAGACATCACATTCCTATCGATTTCGTCTAGAGGTTCTACTATAGACTAAGGTAGATGTTACACTCCTACCGATTTCGTGAGGAGGTCCCACTATTTTGCTTATCATATGACCTAATCGAGAGTTTGGCTTCCACCATCTTTATTTCATTGAAAATGTAATACCCAACATCCCACATCTGATGTGAATGTGATTGTTAAAACTTATATAACAATCCAAGTGTATCACTACTAGCAACTTAAGCTTGAACTTTTGAAGGCCACGTGGTTTAGATCCAAAATTTTGTTAGGTCAGTGGTTGAACTTGAGTTGTTACAAATGGTATCAGAGCCTCTTGGATGTGATGTGTGCTCTTAATGAGGACATCAAAGATTTGAGTGGGTGGGATTGTAATACCTAACATTCCACATCTGATGTGAATATGATTGTTAAGACTTATATAACAATCCAAGTCTACCACCACTAATAACTTGAACTTAAACTTTTGAGAGCCACGTGATTTAGGCCCAAAAAGTTACTGGGCCAATGATTGGACTTGGGTCGTTATAGAAAATTTTCTAAGCATGCTTTAGTAGAAATTTATATACTTGTGCATACTATATTTACTCATGCCATATATTTATTTCAATGCATGTTTTAAATGCTCACACCGGATTGAACTCTATTATGTCATTGCATGACTTTAAACGTTTACTTTTAAATTTTATTTATAAAATATTTTACCATTTTGCTTGTTTCTCATCCACCTCACTAATTGAGTAATGAAAGACTCACCCAAATCAGTTGTTGCCTAGTGCAGATAAATAGCTCCTTGGGGTTCTTGTTGAGGGTGAGTGACTAGCTTTGCATGGTCGATATCGAGGCATCTGCTAGACATTTTCCTATTCGAGTCAACTCCGCTGGTAAAGTTTTATATAAGTGTGACTATCTGTAGCCAATTGTATAAGGCTGAAGCTCACAAATTGTAGCCAATATACGACATTCTATAACTTCATTATGTAAACACTGTTGGTATATGAGTGTATGCGCATATAGTGCTGTTTATAAATATAACTTGATAAGACTGTGTAAAAGTTTAAATTCGATTGTAAACTTATTTATGTGAATACACACACACATTTGAGGTGGTTCTTGTCATTTCATTGTGTTGATGTGTTAGCGGTGTTGGTAAAACCTTATTAGGTTTTGTGGGCTTGTCTACAGAGTTTATGTGTCGGTAATAACCATGGAGATTAGCGTTCATGTATTTTCAAAATAAAAGATTATGTCACATAATAAAAAGCTATTTTAACTTAAAGGTTATGTGACATAGTGTAACTATTAGATTGTAGATGTGCTTTTCATGTGAATAATTATATCTCTTAGTAAAGTAATATATTGAAAAAACCCCACAGTTTAAAAGTTAGGATATGAAAAGTTATCTTTTAATATTATAGCTCAAAGATGATGTCTTATCCAATAATTATGTCTTACAAAATGCAAAGGTGTCTTTCAGATAAAGAAGTGTCTTGATGAAAGGGTTGCGTCTTTGAAGAAGAGACACTTGCAAGCTTATATAAAGGACTTGCTGTCAACCATTTTGACACACCAAAAATAAATAAGACAAGAGTAAAAAATCAAGAAAAAGAAAAGTGTTATGTTCTTGAAATAAACATAAACACTTAAATTTTCATCATTTATTAAAGGAATCCAAGTTCCTTATAATTTACTTGTTGCAAACATTAGGTTTTAAGTCGAATAACGTTGCAAACCCTCAAATGTATTTAGTGGTCTACTCTCGTAAAATGTAAGACGAAGTTAGAAGTTGCCCTTATAGTAATTTTAAAGCTATTCACATTATTCTTTTTTTCATACTGAGTAGTGAAGGCGAAATAAGTTACAAAGATTATGTCTATCAAAAAGACTCGTCTTAAAGTGAATTTTGTCCTTTAAATTCTATCTAAAATCCATTTGCACCAATAGGTGGGTCATTATAGAGATCTAACTTAATGTTGAAATAATAAAAAATAGCTTAAATTGTGAACACAGAAGCTCTACTAGCTATTTCTAAAACTTTCAATTCCCAATAAAACGAGATATTAAATACATTACAAGAAAATTGGTTTTTTTTTATCAAAAAAATTCCATTAAAAATTTTCAACGGAAATTTATTTGGACTTTTCCAATGGATTTTCAAAGAAAATTTTCTGTTGGAAATCCATCGAAAATTTTTTTGGTGCAAAAAATATTTATTTCTGTCAAACTTTCTGATGGAATTTTCAACGGATTTCTGTTGGAAAGTTTAAGGTACTAAAAAAATTTAAAACCCATTAAATTTTCCAATGGAATATTCGGTTGAAAAATTCTCTCATTATTTTTTTAAATTTTTATATAAAATATAGTAATAATTTTTAAAAATTTTATTAATCTTTTATAGGAAATATATTAATAAAATTAAATATATACATATTTAGTTTTATATTATTAAAAATTTAAATAAGTTTTCTTTTAGTTATTATTTTTTTATATATTTTGAAAACTTTATTGAATCATAAATTATAAATTAATAGTTCCAAATTCATTAATTTTATAAAATTAAAGAGTTTATAAAAATAACATAATAAATTTTTTAATTTTATAAAAAAAGATGATAAAATCTAATAATAAATTAAATAAAACCAAATAATACTTTAGATACATACTAATATTAGTTAATATACATTAATAAGAAAAATATATAGTAAATTTATTAATATAATATATTTAAAATATATTAATTTATTATATGTATATATATAACTTAGAATTATAGCAGTGGAATATCTATATATAAACCCATGTATTATTTATAAAAAATATATATAAACTTGTATTAATATGAAATTACAAGTTATCTACTTTAATGATATAACTTTATAAGTTAATATTGTCAGTTAAAATTCAACTATGTTAGTATACATATCGAATAGATAGTATATAAGCAAGCTGAGTATCGATCGCACAGAAAATTAATCAAAAATTTTACTAAATACTAAAATTAGAATATTTTAGTTTTATTCAAATAATTAAAATTTAAATTCTAACTTAAGAGGGAGTAAAGGAGAATTAACTTAGGATATAGGCCACATATGCAATAGATCCATACGCACACAACTGGCATAGATAGACACACACAAGTAGGCTATTCTAAGGCATTTACAATACTTTTCATATTTAAATTTCCTTTATTGATTGTTTTACTTACACAACAAGTAAGTTTAATTTTTAAGACACTTATTTTTATGTTATTTACTTTACTTACACTCTAAAGAAGTTTAGGATTACAATACTTTCTTATTTAATTTACTTGTGTTACAAGTAGATTTAGGATAAACTATCTCTATAAATAATCCCTTATATTTCATTATAAAATTGAACCGGGTTTCCTTAATTTCATTTTCCATTGAGTAGGGTTTTCTTGTTTCCATTTCTTTTGAACAGAGTTTCCCTAATTCCATCCTTTTAATTAAGGTTTTTCTGACTTTATTCTTTTGGAACATTTTATTTTTTAATATTTGAAAATGATATTTGTTTAAAATTTTGAAGTTAAACAACCTCATTCTAGATAAAGAGTTTATTCGTTTGTAAAGTTGCACAACCTCATTCCAAATAAGGAACTAATTCTTTTTTAAAGTTACGCAATCTCATTCCGAATGAAGAGGTTATTCTTTTTTAAAGTTATATAGCCTCATTATGGACGAAAAGCTTACTTATTGTAACTTATTGTAAAGTTAAGCAACCTCATTCCAGATGAGGAGGTTATTCTTTTTTAAAATTATACAGTCTCATTCTAGATGAAAATATTATTCCTTTTTAAAATATGTAGCCTCATTCCAAATGAAGAGCTTATTCTCTTTTAAAGTTACATTGCCTCATTCTAGATAAAAAGTTTTATCTTTGGAAAATTATTTTTCGGTCAAAATGGTGTCTATATCTTTACACAATTATTGGTTCTCAAGAATGTGCAAAAAGGGGTAGTTGTAAACACCCCATTTTGTTTGAGATGTCTATCAAATTTTGAAAATATATAAAAAATTAAGAAAATAACAAAAAAAGGAGATAGACATGAAAAAGGGTAAAGATATATTTGCACTAATTCTAATCCTAGATGAATTGAAAAATCTAAAAAGAGATTAAGTTAGATTGAATTAAAACTCAAAAAACCAATTCAAAAAAGAATAGAACACATTGGTATAAATATACCCAAGCATCAATGCCAATGGGACATGGAGTGAAAAGGAAAAATAGCTGAAGTATTTGACAAGGGAGAAAAAACAATTTTTGGTTCTTGGATTCTTATGTTTCGATATCTTTAGATATAGCATAATCGATTTAATTTCTCAAAGAAACTATTCTGATTAAACGGAGAGATAAGAAAAAGAGAAGTAGAAAGAGTGTCCTAGTTTCTTAGATAAGGTTTAAAAAGAGCTCCTTGTGCACGCTTGGTATTTGGGTCTACGTGAATCCATCTAGGTAATTTTGGTCCATTAATTTGGTTTTCTTTTTGGATTTTTCTGCTCAATTAGGTGTCTTTCCTTTTTATATTTATTTTTTATTTTTTATGATTTAGATTTTTATTTTTATTTTTTATTAAGAGTTTACATAGATTTATGAAAATTCTCCAATGATAAAATCTCAAAGATACCAAAAGAGATGGCTTCTTGGAAATTTCTAGGTAAAAAAATCTTTCAAAATTATGTCATAAGAGTTTGAAGATTTTAGAAAATTTTCAATACCAAGGATTTCCACAAATATTTATTTTAGTTTTCATTTTTATTAAGAATTTACATAGATTTATGGAAATTCTGTAATGATAAAATCTCTAGGATATCAAAAGAGATGACTTCTTGGGAATTTCTAAGTGAGAAAATCTTTCAAAATTATACCATAAGAGTTTGAAGATTTTGGAAAATTTTTAATACTAACGATTTGCATAAATATTTAAATAAAAAATAATAACAATATAGAATTAAATAGATAAATTCTCCAATGATGGAATCTCAACAATACCAAAAGAGGTGACTTCTTGAGAATTTCTAGATGAAAAAATCTTTCAAAATTATGCCATAAGAGCTTGAAGATTTTAAAAAATTTTCGATACAAGTTAACAAAAGAAAAAGAAATAAAATTGAATTAGATTTGATTTAATAAGGCTTAAAAGACACACAATTAATTAGGTACCAATAAAATTGACTTTGTGAGGTGCTCATACCTTCCTCATGCTTAAATGAAGCCCTAAACCTAATTTTCATAGTAGACTAGAAATTATTCTTTTTAATGAACCTAAGCCTAGCCTAGAACCTTAGTAGGTAAAATAGATTCACTTATATGGTCAATTAGATTAAAAATAAATAAATAACGACTATATAGTTGAATTTTAGGATTTATCTAATAACTCGTTATCTAGATAAAAATTATAAAATAAAGATAATGATAAGGGATTTTATTTAGATAGATTAAATCTTAATCCTAATCTAATCTAATTTATATCCAAATCTAGATATAATAATCAAATATAAGAATTTAAATCCAATTACACTCATGTATTTGACCAAATCTTGATATAATAATCAAATATAAATATTTGGCTTAGATTACACTCATGTATTTGGCTTGTTAGGCTATTTAACCTATTTTATATGAAATTTTAAAATCGTGATATAATTGATATTTACACATATATTTATAAAAATTTAAAAATAATAAAATATTGTATTATTTTCTAATAGTGTGCTTACTCAAGGAAAGGCGTGGGTTGCTGACGGAGATAAGGATATGATCGGTGAAAAGAAAACCATAGGATGCAATGACCTTTCATTGGTTGAAGCAAGACAAAAAGAAGGAGACCGATTTTAAGCGCAGATGGCTGCTTTGTATTTGACTCAATGCATGTATCCTGTTCCAATGCAGCGATGGGCTCTTATTTTTTATCATTATTCAAAGTAGTTGAATAAGATTTTGATTGATTTGGAGGAAGTTTTTTAAGCGGACGAGACTGCTCCAAATGAAGGTGATGATTACTTTTGCAGGTTGAGTACCCAACCGTATCGAACCTAATGTTGAAATAATATAAAATGGCCTAAACTGTGAACACAGAAGCTTTACTGGCTATTTCTAAAACTTTTAATTCCCAGTAAAACGGGATTGTATATGTACATA